TTTGTCCATTACTCCTAGGGGTTCCCCTCCCCTCCAATATGATGGTGACCGGGACTCCGTTCCAAATTCTATCTAGTTGCCATGAGACTGAGGAATCCAGCACCACCAGGATGAACTTCCCTGTTGTCCTCGCTGATCTCTGGCTGGACAATTATACTTCCTGCACTGTGCCTTCAGCTGGGGTTCCAGCAGTGCTGGCAGGACCTAAACTCCCACTCTCCTCACTGAAGCGAGCCAGACCTGGTCGCCTCTGGAGGAGTGTTGAGGGTCCAGGTTGCATAGCGGCCATCTTATTAGAGAATCCAGCCGGATCCAGGCAGGTCATCAGGGTGGTCAGCTGTCCAGTTCTCCACCCAGGATTCTTGCAGCACAGGGGGAGCTGGACTTCCTCCCCATCCCTCAGTGTGAGACTGAGCGAGGGTGACAAGGCAGGCTACTCTGCACTCTTGTCCCCATGCTGGTGACTGTGGGGCCAGTGAGGACTGAGCCCTGACCCCACTTGGCTTAAAAGGACTGAAACCATGTTGGGGGCAGGGATGCACACTGCGGTGTCTCTTCCTCCCTTTTGTCCCTAAGGCCAGGGAGCCAGTGGGCCAAGCAACCACCTAATGCAGCAAGGCAGCCAGTCTCAGCCTGGCTTCCCTCACTGGGGTCAGCACGCCCAGTAGGGGGCTCTACACCCCACCCCCTGGATGCGAAGGAGCTGGTGACCACAGCTGCCCCACGGTCCCTGGGATGGAGTCAGCAGCACAGAGCAGTGGGGCCAGGGCCCCCTTTGCTGGGTCAGTGGCAGTGAACACACCCCTCACCTTCTGCTGCGGGATGAGCCCTGATCAGCAAAGACTAAATGGGACTCAGAGTTTCTTGATGTCACCTCCCTAGAGTCCAGGATCCAGTACAATTGTCACTTGTTGTATCAACAGCCAGGAAAATAGATATTGATGTGAAAACCGAATCCGTTGACATCAATACTGAGATGACTCAATGATGACATATTTTTGGGGAACTACATCAAACCCCTAATGAACAGGTAGAGACACTAGGAACAAACGGAGCAGGAGGTGATCCGAGGTAGGAATAGAACCAGGAGAATAAAGTGGATGGAAACACAGACCTTTAATACAACAGAGGAAAATAAAAAAGAAACCTCTCAGCGGGGGTTCAAAGACATGTAATGCGCATTATTATTTAATTTGTACATTTCATTATTGAGTGATGGATTATGACTAGGAAGGAAAAAAGGGCTTCCATCCTTTCTGCATCATTTCCACCACCATGAACATTCCCGCGAGTGTCACCAGGGGTCGCTGTCGGTCTGCTCAGACCCCGCCAGGCCTGGACACCACCCAGAGGCTTCCACTGCAGGGGCCTTGCACCCGGGCTCACTGGCCAGATCTGGACGTGGGAGCAGGTGCTTCCTCTCAGGGGACAAAGCCCGAGCCCCGACCTCCTCAGGCCCCGCCTAGCGTGAGTTGCCACCTGGGGGGAGGACCCAGCAGTGAATGGTGTGTGGGCTCCTGTCCCCGTTGGGCCCCAACACCATTCCCCAGGAGCAGAGGAGGAAGAAGGGGGACACATGGGACCATCCCTGACCACTACTGCTCCTCTCAGCCTACCCGGCTTCTCTGGTATCTTTTCTTTGTGTTCCTCTTACTCCCCCCTTCCTCCAGTGCACAGATCATAATGACCTCAGCACCCCGACTCCCAGCTCTCCATCCCACCCCACCCACAGGGAACATCCATCCTTGTCCTTCCTCGGGACATAACGGTTGTCTCTTTTTCCAGGCTCGCTCTCCCAGCCTATGCTGACACAGTCGTCCCCTGCATCTGCCTCCCTGGGAGCCTCGGCCAAGCTCACCTGCACCCTGAGCAGTGGCTACAGTGGTTTTTACATGGACTAGTACCAGCAGGACCCGGGGAAGGGCACACAGTTCGAGATGGGAGTCGGCATCAGCGGTGTTGTTGAATCCATGAGGGATGGGGTCTCTGATCGCTTTTCAGGCTCGGGCCCTGGCCCAGAGCACGACCTGACCATCTAGAACGTCCTGGAGGAGGACGAGGCTGACTACATCTGTGGGCCAGACCATGGCAGCTACGTGGAACCCACAGTGAAACCAGCAGAATAGAATTGACACAAAATCCCACTGACGGTCCAGTCCCCCTCTTCATGTCGCCCGACCCACAGTTCAGGGGACGCCTACTGAACTCCCCTGAGAGTTTCTACCTTCCAAGGGATTTTCATAACTCAGCCCTTGTCAGTGAGGACAGTCTGTCCCCGCACAACCTGCCTGGTCTTGGACCACAGCGAATGTTCCCCTGGGTTGGAAAACATAAGCCAATCTGGGTTCAATTCCAGTGAAAGACTTCCAATCCTGAACTTCAAGCTGCAAAACAGGGTCTGTGGCATCCTTCCCTTTTTCAGTCAGTATGACATTCAGGTCACTGCCCACTGGGAAAAGTAACACGGAGATGAATCCACGAGACTGTGGTTGGATTGACTGTTGAATGCACATGAGTTTTGGAACATGGAGCCTGGGCGTGTCCTAAAGAGTGCCCCGGGAATGCTGGTGCTGTGGTGTTTGTTAAAGTCATGGGTGAGGGGGTAGGAGGAGGGAGAGAGGAGAGGAGATTGAAGGATTGAAGTGATCCTGATGAGGGCTGATGGGGGGTGAAGGTGTGGGAGTCCCCTTAGTCTATCACCATGGATTTCTGTAATGTCAACGATTTCCACGAAAGCAGACGTGTGAACAAGAAGACCTCCACCCTTGTGTGTTGTGATGCGTGTCTGCCCCAGGTTAACGTCACCAAAGTGCCAAAGTGTGTGTTTCCCCCCTGATCTGAGGTTTAATCCTTTATCCTTCCAGCAGAAAGAGGGGGCTGCTGTGATGTTGGCAAGGGACAAGAGCTCAAGTGTCACTGACAGAGGGAGGGAGGGGGTCCAGATGGAGGGGAGGGCCTGTCATTCGGGTTTGAGGGTGCGGAGCCAGATCAGGAAGGTAGCTTGTGAGGCTGAAGTGTAGGGATTTCATGTAAACAGCAATGAGGAGTCATTGAAGGGTTTAAGACAGAGTTTGCTTGAGCTAAAGGAGGGTTAACTTCGTCGTCCTAGGAGAAACAGGTGGTCCTGGTTACAGGAAACTTACTGATATACCTGCGAGTCCAGATGATCATGGAGCATTTGCACAATTGAGGCAAATTTGGACACAGGATATGCTGAGGACATGATGGTTTCTGCATTTGACAGGCACGCATGGCCCATCTACTGACCCAAAACAATGAGCAAGAGAACCCAGGTGTGGACATTTTTGTTTATAATACAGACAAATTGTAGGATCTCTAGGACAGGGTCCTCACAAGAAATATGTGACATCACTGTGAGAAAAACCCCATCTTAAGAACATAATCCTCACACATGACAAATATATCACAAGTAGCTGTGATATATTTATACAATGGAATAATACTCAGCTATGAAAAAGAATAAAATAATGCCATTTGCAGCAACATGGATGGACCTGAAGATCGTCATTCTAAGTGAAGTAAGCCAGAAAGAGAAAGATACCATATCACTCATATGTGTTATCTATAGACAGCAAAAAGAAGACAGTAATGAATTTAATTATAGAGCAGAAACATTCTCACAGAGAAAATAAACATATGGTTTCCAGGGGGAAAGGGGGTAGAAATGGATAAACTGTGAGTTCAATATTTGCAAATATTAACTACTGTCTATAAAATAGATAAACAAGGTTTTTGTGTAGAGCGCAGGGAACTAGATTCAGTATCTTAAAGTAAGTTTAGTGAAAAAGAATATGAAAACAAATATATGTATGTGTGTATGACTGAAGCATTATGCTGTACACCGAACACTGACACGTTGTAAACTGAATATTCCTCAATAAAAAGGAAAGAAATATATGGCATGTGCACTACTAAATGATATGCCTGCCGAACAATATCATTTCCACTAATCATGTTAGACTCCATCAAAATTCTGAAAGCATCGCATGAGTTTTGAAATGGCTGCTGTTTCCAGGTTTGAAATATGACCTTTTGCTTCTTCATGAAAAATCCAGATCTAAACCCTTTCCTCCAACAGCCCTACCCGTGCTTCAGACCAACTCACTGTGCCCTTGTCACTGGTGCACACGTGGGTCAGTTAGCTTTTCTAGAGTGTACTCTGGGAGGGGGCTGTAACTTTTAATGGTTCCATATGCACAGGTTTGCAGCTTCCATGGACCAGGACTCCATTTGAAAGTGAAAATATTTTATAGGATGTGACTTAGCATAAAAGTACCACAGGATCTGGGAAGGTGACCATGGGCCTGTGAATCTAGACAGGGACCAGGTGAGCTCCACAACTAGCTGGGCCCTCAGGTCTCTGATCCTGGATGAGGTTGTGCCTCATGACCAGCAGGGGATGCTGGGGGTCTGCCCTGTGGTCCCTGCACAGCTGCTCATGGAGGACCACTCACTCCCAGGAGGTGGGCCTGGTGGCTGGCCCTGTGGTCCTGATGGGGACTCAGGCATGTGTCCTCTCTGGCTGGCAGAGTCCCTTGAGCAGGGACCCCTGTGGTCTCAGCAGATGCCTCCTCCAAGGGTCTCCCAAGGGGGAGG